TTCCCGAATCCGTGCGACTTTGTCATACAGATACTGCACAAAATCCTCTGCCCTCCCCTCCAGGGGGTCCCCCCCCCCTCCAATTGAAGGAGGGAGCGGGTCACCCTGAAGAGGGCGGCAGGGCGGTTATCTGATGACGCGATGAGTGAGGCATAGTAGTTAGTCCTAGCCTCCCTCAGCGCCACTAGGTAAGATCTAACTGTCAGCAGGTTATTTTATTTATTGTCACTATGTATAATCTTTCCTTAGACTGAATACCTAACATAATTTCTAACTACCTATTTTGAAATAGTTTTCCATTAGCATTTCCTGATTTTGCAAGGATTTACTTCCAGTTTGTTTTTTTTAAGATTGAAGAGTTCATTAATAGATATAAAGTAGCAGTTGTCCTTCAACAAGAAAGAGAAGAGTCACTATATAATGTATTTACTTCTATCTTGAATATTCATAGGGTGAGCCTGGAGAAGCTGGTAACCCTGGGCCTCCTGGAGAAGGTGGCACAACTGTAAGTATATACTTTTTCTTCCAGTAAGATTTGTAGAAGTGATTGTACTATAACTTCTCTATACTACTTTGAAATAGTAACATTCTATATTTCATTCTGCCGAAATGTACAGATAATTCTAAGCAGACTTTTTTTTTATTCCAAGATCATTTCAAGTATCAGGGTCTGTTGGTCAATTTGTGTGATATCTGCCTGTCTTTTCTACCTATTTTTCCGACTCATATCACCTCTGAACCTGTATTACATTGATCTTGAGAACTGGCATTCTTGAATGATTTGCCATCGTAATCTTGGCTTATTTGCCCACTCCCTTATTCCAGTTATTTGAACAGGCTTTTCAATAATTTCTAACTTTTGACCTACAGCTCTAAATTTATGTTTCATCATCATTTCCCACACAGTGACACTCATATTTTAGAGAACTTCATAGGAGACACCTGTGTGTGTGGGCCCGTTCTTCCTGAGGTAGCAGTTTTCATTAATCATGGAACAGGACTTTTAAATACTTCTCCATACTGACTATGTTCAGAAAATCTTTTCACTCAATAATATATCATGAAGAATTCTACCATTAATTTCAATTAATTTCACAATGTCAAAAAGATGTTGAGAGACTAGAAAGAGCGCGGAGAAAACAAAAAGATGATCAGGGGACTGGAGGCTAAAACATATAAGGAACGGTTGCTGGAATTAGGTATGTCTAGTTTAATGAAGAGAAGGACTAGGGGGGACATGATAGCAGTGTTCCAATATCTCAGGGGTTGCCACAAAGAAGAGAGACTCAACCTATTCTCCAAAGCACCTGAAGGCAGGACAAGAAGCAATGGATGGAAACTAATCAAGGAGAGAAGCAACCTAGAACTAAGGAGAAATTTCCTGAGAGTTAGAACAATTAATCAGTGGAACAACCTGCCTCCAGAAGTTGTGAATGCTCCAACACTGGAAGTTTTTAAGAAGAGACTGGAGAGCCATTTGTTTGAAATGGTATAGGGTTTCCTGCCTGAGCAGGGGGTTGGACTAGATGACCTCCAAGGTACCTTCCAACTACTACTACTACTTACTACTACTACTACTATTTTTATTTTTATTTATTTATTTATTTAACAATCATTTGCACTTCAGTTCATTTTCAAACCTCTCCAGAAATGGATTCTAACAGGTGCTGTTGGAAAACTTTGGAGTGCTTTCTTCATTTCTCTATCCAAAATATATTGCTTCAAAAAATGCTTCCAATAAAAATATGACTGAGATTTTTATAGATGGGGTGTTTTTTTTGGGTTGCTCCTTACTTGTTTTATGCAATCTATATATCGGTTAAAAGCTCTTCTTTTTTGCAGGGTCCAAAAGGTGAAAGAGGTGAGAAAGGTGAAGCTGGGCCATCTGGAGCAGCAGGACCTCCTGGACTGAAAGGACCTCCAGGTGATGATGGTCCAAAGGGAAATCCAGTGAGTGAAGATACTAATTTTTTAAAAAATATATATTAAGATTTAATAATAAGTATAATTTGCCCCTATTTAATTTCTTAACTGTATTTTCTCAACTCTATAAAACAATTCTGAGTGCTGTCAGAAAGACCTGCTGTATACAGAGTTGCTGTATCAGTGATAATGGCTGGCATAGAAATTTAACAAATCAATCAATAAAAATAATTTCCTAAATTTCTTAATATTGGTCACTCTTGTTGGATTTAGGGAAGTTGTATTCCAAAATATCTTGTGAGCATCAAATGCCTTGATAAGGCCACACGTGGAATACTGCATCCAGTTTTGGTCACCGCGATGTAAAAAAGATGTTGAGACTCTAGAAAGAGTACAGAGAAGAGCAACAAAGATAATTAGGGGACTGGAGGCTAAAGCATATAAGGAACGGCTGCTGGAATTGGGTATGTCTAGTTTAATGAAGAGAAGGACGAGGGGGGGGGACATGATAGCAGTGTTCCAATATCTCAGGGGCTGCCACAAAGAAGAGGGAGTCAAGCTATTTTCCAAAGCGCCTGAAGGTAGGACAAGAAGCAACGGGTGGAAACTAATCAAGGAGAGAAGCAACCTAGAACTAAGGAGAAACTTCCTGACAGTGAGAACAATTAACCATTGGAACAACCTGCCTCCAGAAGTTGTGAATGCTCCAACACTGGAAGTTTTTAAGAAGAGATTGGACAGCCATTTGTCCAAAATGGTATAGGGTTTCCTGCCTGAGCAGGGGGTTGGACTAGATGACCTCCAAGGTCCCTTCCAACTTTACTATTATTATTATTATTATTATTATTATTATTATTATTATTATTATTATTATTATTATTATTATTATTATTATTATTATTATTATTATTATTATATGAACTATTTTTGTTTCAGAGGCTGTATCTTTTCACAACCTATGTATCAATAAAAATGTTATTTACAGTTACTTTTTTCCTGATGCTCATTAGTTTTACCTTGGTTTTTTTAAAATTTCTGTAGGGCCCTGTTGGGTTCCCCGGTGATCCTGGACCTCCTGGAGAACCTGGTTCAGCTGTAAGTATTTTGAAAATAAAATTGCTTTACTAGGTGAAGTGAAACTCTCACTGGCTTCAGTTGATATTGGATTCTGAGATTCTGATTCTGAAAAAATTACTTTGTTGCATCTCTTTGCTCTGATCAAAACACTGCTTTGTGGGGTCTGAAATTGAAAATATTTTTCCTCTGCTCCTTTCCAGGATTCAGTGTAACGCTTGTCTAAATATTATTTTCATATCAACCTGTACAGTGAGCGAGGCACGGAAACTTTCTTGATAGCAGCTTGTGATTGTATTTGGCTTAGTGGAAAATTGAATCTTGATCTCCTTGTTGCAGTACAATATCCTGATTATTACGTCGAACTGGATTTTTCAGAAAGTTATCAAGTATAAAAACATTGCAGTTCTACAACTAAAGCTAAGCAGAAGTTGCTATGAGAGGCTCTCTTGGATAATAAGCAAATCACTGAGATATTTAGGCAAACATAGGGTACTATATAGAATTAATATTGCAGTCTGTCATAGTTCTTAATGTATGTTCTTTCTGAGTAGAACATACAATTCAAGTAGGATATATTATGTAAATGTTATTTTCTTTCTTTCTTTCTTTCTTTCTTTCTTTCTTTCTTTCTTTCTTTCTTTCTTTCTTTCTTTCTTTCTTTCTTTCTTTCTTTCTTTCTTTCTTTCTTTCTCTTTCTACCTCCCTAGGGAACTGATGGCACAGGAGGAGAAAAAGGTGATGATGGCGATCCAGGCCAATCTGTAAGTAATATCTTTGCAAGAATAATTCTGTTGACTGTGTTGTATTAATTGATTGTATTATAATAATTGAGGATGACAGCAATTATATTCCAATCACATCAGGATCGTGTGGAGAAAGTTCCTCTCTGGAACAACTTACATTCAACTCATGTCTATTTATTTTATTTTTTCCTATTTATCCATGGGAAAAATGTATAAATACAGGTAGTTCTCAACTTATGATCAAAATTGGACTGGAACTTCCATCACTAAGTGATGCAGTCATTAAGTGTGTCATCACGTGACTGTTTCCAATTTGACAACCTTTTTTTGCCAGCATCATTAAACAAATCTGCTTCCCCCATTGATTTTGCTGGTCAGAAGCTGGCTGGAAGGTCACAAATGGTGACCATGTGACCCCATGGTGCTGTGCTAAATGCGTGCCAGTTGCAAATCACATACTGTGACAGTTGTATGTGCAAGGACTGATTGCAAGTCACTTTTTTTCAGCACCATCATGACTTTTGAACAGTCGCTAAACAAATGGTTGTAACTCAAGGACCTCCTATAAGCATTTGAGTAAGAAGTTGCCATTAATACAACTTCCTATAGTTTCTTAAGTGAAGTCCCTTCATACTTCTGAACAAGTCAAGTCCACCTGCCTATATTTTCCTAGTATACACTGCTGGTTTTCTTATCCAGTATCAGTCGATGACACATGCCTTGGTTGCTAAGTAAGTAAGTATCTACATAATCATTGCATAGGATCTTTTGGTAATCACATTTGAAAGTGGGTAATTTGGATATTTTTATGATTTCAGGGGCCACCAGGTCCTTCTGGTGAGGCAGGTCCCCCTGGCCCTCCTGGAAAGAGAGTAAGTCCTATTTCTCTATACATGATTTTTTTGTTGTTGTTATTGTCATTGTTATTTTTTGTTTAAACATAGTGGATAGGTGGCACAATTTAGGCAGACTCTATCGTTTGTATTGACCCAAGGGTTCATTAATATGTGGGAAAACTCTTTTTTCCCTTTTAAGAGTTTTCACCATCTATTACTAAGATTCTTCTATCTGCCAGATTGCCATGCATTTAGTATACTAAATTTCATCTGACTTGTAACAGTATGCACAATTTATTTCACACTTCACCACATTGCCTCCCAACACAGGCAGAGATGCTGAAGGATTTTTTTTTTTTTGTCTGCAAATCTGGCAACTTTCACGTTTATACACATAATTCAACTATTCAGCTTTCTTGCCATATTTTGCACTTCTCTGAGCAACTTGACAATTTAAATGTATCCGAATCTTAATCTAAATGTATGAAACACATATTTTGAGCATTGTTTTTGACAATGTAGCTTGACGCAGATACAGAAGGGAATTGTGAAACCACATAAAATTGAGCTGAAGAAGAAATAAGCAGAAGGATAAATTCCTAAAGAAAGCCTGCCAGCTATCTGTAGCAGGTTTTTACCTGACATCCTGAGATCCTAGAGAAATAAAACAGATAGATTGTCAAATACATGGCAAATTGTAACCGAACAGCTTTTGAACTTTGTTCAGCATACGGAATGCATAGCTTTAACAATCATATCTGTTTGTCTATTAGACAAAATGTATTCTATTCCATGTTCTTTCCCTCCTCCCCCAATACAGTTCCAAGAAATATATATATATATATATATAGGCATTATATGCCATCAATCATAGCAAATTAATGCAGTACAATTAGCAAATTCATGAACAGGTGTTCTGTTGTTTTATTTAGCCAGGAGAGCTTCCCCTTAGCATTTCTAATGTAACGATTGTAAAGAAAACCAACTTGATCTAGGTGCAGTTTTGTGGGAAACGGTCTTACATTTGATATACTTTCAAAGGCCCAGATTATGGAGTACTAAATTATGTGCTACTTTGTGTTATTGCCTTACATTTACTACAAACATAGGGTTGTGGTGAATTTTGAAAATGTGTGGTTTCATGCTTACTAAAATTGGGCATTCATAGGGGGAAAAGGTACTCTGAAGAGCCTCTTGGTATCCACTGGCCTCTATCACAGCAACTGCACTTAACTGAAGTTCATCAGCAGGGGTGATCATAAACAATCATTCTATGTTAGAACAGTATCAACAGTACTTTGAAAAGTAATTTGTTTCAGTCTATTATATATGGAGAGTAATTTTATATTTTAAGAGACCCTAGTGTAAATGAATGATTATTTAGCTCCTCCTGCTCCATTTCCCCCCCCCTTAGATCTGAGATACTGAAAAAGAAAAAAAAAAGGCAGTTGCTTGTTTAGTGAATTATTATTTATTTCAATTAAAGCAATAGGCTTTGATCCTTTTAATTAGTATATTAATCAACAGAAACTTTAGCTTTATTTATCTATGGGGAAAATTCTAATAAGACAAGTTTTAATCAGCAGGGTTATGGCATTAGGGCATGCTCTCCTTTTTTAAGCATTGTTTAGTTCTGGTGTTTTGCCAACCCAGTGTAACAATTAAAATCTAATGAATGATGCCTCTTTCTCCTACACTGAGAATAGTTTTCATTTGCTTGTCTCATAAATTATCGTACTTCTGCACCATGTGATGCTCAAGGGCCTCCTGGTGGGAAAATGAACTTAGCTGGTGCCCTCAGCATCTGCCTTCTTTGTATAATGCTTGAGCATGCCTGATTATGCCAAATGTTAATCGCACACAGTGCAGGTTAATTTCACCAAGCATGTTTCTGGGACACTTGTCCCAATCATTTTGCCATGGTCACTGAGTAGCTGATTCCCCTCATTGACCACTTCATGGCTTTTATATATTTCCAAATCTATGGTCCACTGAAAGGTAGTGATACACCAGAAACTACCAGGTCTCTTGCCAACATTCTTAATGCAAAGAAGACAATTGAGATGCCACAATATTTTATTATGTCCAGAAGTGATAATACATGACCTCTTATGTTTTATCTGCCAGCTTTGTCTTTTTGTGTGTGCCGAGATTCCCAGAGGCAATACACATTGAAAGTAATATCCCTCATTTAAATCAAAGAGTGCTTTGCTTTGATGAAACTTCAAAGTATCTCCTTGAAGCATCTTCACTATGCAACAATGGTCATCTTACTTCGAAAACTTTTAAAAACCTAGTGATATTGTTTCAGTCTGGCCTGCTTGTGTTCCTTAGAGGAACTCACTTTCTGGGAGAAAGATAAGTGAAACCTTTTCAACAAACTGAAAGGTGCTTTTTTAAAAGGCAACTGAATTTTCTTTGTTTTTCCTTGAAGAGGTTTTCACTTCTCATCCAAAAAACTTCATCAGTTGATGAACTGATGAACTGTGATGATGAACTGATGAAGCTTTTTGAATGAGGAGCAAATGTCTTCAAGAAAAAACAAAGAAAGTCCAATTGCCTTTTGAAAAAGCACCTTTGAAACAACCATGACCTGGCTGAGAATCTCCATAGATTTTTCAACAGGTATTGCAGGAGAAAACCAAGAGGAAAGGAACGATCACAGCCTAATCCAGACTCCCCTCAGTATACAATAAAACTCTTCCAATTTAGGCAATTTCTGCAAAGGCTACAGGCAATCACTTCTTCAGACAATGCTTTTGGAGAAGGCACAGAGAAGCTTCAATAGTTCAATAGTATTGGCCTCAGGTGTTTCAAGGTCACGGAAACAGCTTTGTTGAGGTGAATCAACTGTCTTCCTTGTTTCAGCAAACAAATCAGGATGCTTCTACAGCCTGCAACCACTTCATTGAAGTGAATCTTTGTTGTTTCATATAGACGTAAATGTTACTGCACTGGTGATTTAAAGAATTACACAGCTATTGCTGCGACAATAGAAAGTGTGATTTCTTTAATGATATATTGCCACAACAATGGCTGGATGACATTATAAATTGCTAGTGGGAAAATGATCATGGATGCATGGTAATTGTTACTATGGAGCACAAAACTTAATTAATTACAAGAACAATAAGAGGGAGAGTACGTACAAGAAGAGAACACTTTTAAAGGGCCATTAAGAGAAGCACATTATCTTTTTACTGAAAAAAATCTTGAGGAAAGCCACAAATGTTTAGGTGAAAAAAGCAGGAGGAATAAACATTTGTGTAATTTACCATTGCTTCCTGATTTTTCAAAGCGCAAGCTGTAATTAAAAGCTTTAAAGTGTGTCAAGATATTACATTAAGTTTAGATTCTACTTAGATTCTCTTTTTGGAGGGTCTGTTGGAACTTTGAATAATCTCTAACTCAACCCCCAATCTCCGGGCTGCCCAAGCGGCAATCTTGCATTCATGCGCAGCAGTATTTGCACAGCGGTGGATGTTCACGCTCACACATGAAGCTCCATTTGCACGGGTGGTAGGTGCTTGTGCTTACATATGAAGCTCCATTTATGTGAGCGGCAGGCACGCAAATTCATGCGCGTACCTGCCACGGACCCATCCCCTCTATCTCAGAAAGATTGGGGATTGCTGCTCTAAGTGACCTGTCCTAAGTCGAGAATGGATCTGCAATGTCATTATACTGCATATGATGTCATTGTGGGTTCAACCAGATGCCTATTGAGGTCCTAATCAAGGAGGAAGGAGATTGCCCCTTTGGTCCATTTTGCATGTAATGAAGTACAATTTAATCAGTTCAGCTTGGAGTAGTCTGAAAGGAAAAGAAAGTGTTTCCCTGCACATGAGTGTGTGGTTTAGATAACACATTAATCTACAACACATTGTTTTAAATGGAATTTATCCTAAAGCCAGCTCATGATATAAGATGAAATAAAGTTTAGTGCCAAATAAAAAGTAATGTCTTCAGAAAATAATGTTTCAGGAACACCCTAAAAGTTGATAGGCCTGCAGTTATCCTACTATCATTAGTGTTTTTGAAGAATAATGGATAGGCATCCTGAATAATCTCTGCAGGCATGTGAACATCTAAGCCTTATTTGTCAGGCAATTAGTTGATTTTTAACAGTTTTTTTAAAACATACAGCAGCATTAAATGTAAGCTGTAATCTATTTAGCAAAATGAGATAAACCGTTCTGTATAATGGGCTTGAGTGAACTGACATGCTTAATTAGTTTTATCTATTTTACACAATAATCTATTTGTTCCACCAATTTACTGAACATTTATAATGCTGGAAACAATTACAGTGGCATTAGTAGTCTTTTCAGCAGAATTGGAATAAGACTCACTTGAAGATTTAACAGTGACTAAGTTTACTACAGTTCAGCCAAAACATTTCTTTTCCAGTATGTTTTTGTTAAATCCAAGTCCAAGACAATAAAAGGAAGTATGCAACATTTACTTATTCTTTTTAAAGACATCACAAAGCTACATTTCTTATTGTTTTTGTGGAGCGTTTGAGATTAAGGTCAGGAGGAACTCTTGAGCCATTTGAGCAAAGGAGCTTTGCAATGCTTAGCGATGCTTCATCAATTCAAGTAACTTTTTCATTGTCAGTAAAACCCATCCAATGCCTTCATCTCCCATTCCATGTCCAGAAGCCAAGTAAGCTAATTGAATTTTAGGCACTTTCAGTAAGCCTCAGTTACTGCCTCCAAGTAATACTCAACACTCACAATTGTCCATCACTGGCATGGGATTGCCCCAATTAGCCATTGCAAAATGTCCAGAGACACTGTGTTTGCTGATCAGTGAAAGAACATTGAATACCCAAATCTCATAGAACTTTCAGTGGTTGATAGATAAAACATCCAAGCTATGTAAATAAATGAAAAAAAAAATCCATTGTATTTTTTTTTAAAAGATATCGTCAGGCTCCTACAGCAGTGCAAGATTCATAGAGTTTCATTAATGCCAAGAAAAAGTGATAAAGTTACAAAAACGTGGACACTAGATAAATATAGCCCATTCAG